GTAGTAGTAGTAGTAGTAGTAGTAGTAGTAGTAGTAGTAGTAGTAGTAGTAGTTGTTGTTGTTGTTGTTGTTGTTGCTGTTGTTGTTGTAGTTGTAGTACTATTATTATCCTTATTATCATAATTATTATTATAAATATTGATCCTCATCATTATCATAATCATCCCGAGATATTTTTACGGATAACTGAACAAACTAACCGATCTCCCATCTCCCCAGGTGTTGGTATCGCCATGAACGTGTTGTGCACTCTCTGTTCCTGGTATTACTCCATGATCCTGGGGTGGACACTCATCTTCCTGGTTCACTCCTTCCGTGACCCTCTGCCGTGGACACAGTGCGGACAGTGGTGGAACTCGGATCAATGCGTGCCCACCATAGGTCACAGTGTGAACGCTGCTTTAGGCAACGGGACAGATGCAAGTGGTCCAGCTTTCAACACGAGCTACGCTTACAACATCACCCAGAATATTACGAGCGTTGAAGGCAATCTGACCAAATCTGCTAGTGTGGAATTTTGGTTGTAAGTTTGAGTACATGTCTCTTGAATGAGGTAAAGAGGGGGCACGTTGGTCTCATGAAAAGAGGAAGAGAAAAAGAAACTTCTGTATATGTGTTCATGAACTTGAATAGAAAATAGAAACATAGAAAATAAATGCATTTTCCTGATTTCATTTTGAGCTTCATTTAATTGAGATGGCATATCATTCGAGTTTAGCCTAATGTTTGGAAGAATTCAATATAACTTACGATAAGTAAACAGATTTACCACCATTTGCCTTTACATCCAACTCTCATTATCTTGTTCTTCGTTGACTTCTGCATGTCATTTACCATCACTGATTGTTCTCCTTTTTGCTTGCCCTGGTTATTGTTAGTTTTCGCGACCCGGTGGAATCAGGCTCTAGTCAACTTTAGGTCATGTGGAACGAGTGGTAACATCTTAAATCTTGTTTATTTTTTGCGCGTTAATGAAAGACAAACCTATCTATCTTAAATCTTGAAGTTTAGATATTTGCAATTGAATGAGGTTTACATCACCTAGTGTAAGAGATGGTAAAATATGCGAGCAAATAGCTGCTAAAGTTTAGTGACTAAAAATAAAAATAGTAAACGATAACATTTGTCAACGGGCGCCAATAAATGACGATTTCTTCGATTCCTTTTTTTTTAAAACCAGTGCTTGGTTTCATCTTGACGAGAATTATATTTTTGTTATCTGCTGATATGAAATTTTGCTGTAAAAAGATCCAAGATTCCATATTCTTGCACGAAGCCTGCAATGCTGACATATGATAGTAGTTAGGGCACAGATGACACTGTCTAGGGAACCTGTGTAAAGGTTGTAAGCTAAGACGCAGGGCACAGATCTAAACCACGAACACAAAACGAAGGCAGGGAAAATTTTGCAAGGGGATACTAGAGCAATAAGAAATGTAGTGAGAGGGAGGCAATAAATCAAAAGCAAAGATGGAAGGAGAAAATGTGTGTGTAGGTGTGTTTGTGTGTGTGTGTGTGTGTGTGTGTGTGTGTGTGTGTGTGTGTGTGTGTGT